ACGAGTCAGGATCCTCGTAATCTTGACTTGACCTGACCTGAGCTAAGTGACCTGACCTGCTGTAGTGTTTGCACGCGCACGCGAATCGGCGGGAGATGTAACATGCAGCTAGAGTAAAAAGACAATAGGCTTAGGACTTCTCAGGACCCGGGACGGCATGGAGAAGACACAAGGTAGACAAAAGGTATGCTTTTTATTTAGTCTTCCTCGGTGTTCAGAGGAAGTAACTAATAATAGGATCGCGGTAACTGGGGTAGTATGTTAGAAGGATGTGAAATATAAGTTAATTTTATGTGAACACGCCTTGTTTTCATGATGTCAGAACACATTTACGACATGAGATATATTTACTTGTACCCCTCCATCTATCAAAGAAGGCCTATGGACTTTGATACTGCCCGATTTCGCCTCCCGAGTCCTGTCCTTAGGTCTCAAGTTCGGGACACAAACAGTGATATTACTAAATCTTATCTTCACCCTCATTATATACTAAAGCAGAAGATATGATTTGTATATCATAAACTGCTCACTGGTCAGTAACTGTACAGAACTTGGGACTGACATGCCTAATGTGAGCTGACATAGCTACTCGCAAAACTCTACGGACTAAAACTCACGTTTCAATTACCATGAAGCCCCTTCATGTAAGTTGAGATTTTTCCTCGCGAATACAGTCATGTGAACCTACCAGCACATAGTCACACCTGTGCTATTTGCAGGTAACATCACATGGCTAGCTTGCAAGTAATACCACCTGTTTTACATGCAGGTAACATTTCTTGTCTATTTTGCAGGTAACACTACTCTATAGACCAGGGAGTACTAATATTTGCATGGTATGTGTGAAATTCAAATTTATCTCTCTGGCTTTTAGGTAACATTACCTGCTTGGACTCTACATAAGATTTGCATTTTAAATATCAGGATCTTTTTTTTTTTGTCTTTTTCCATGTTTGTACATACCATATAAATGTCTTATTAATACCATATCACAGACTTTTTTCAGAAAGTAACACGCAAATACATAACATGGACGCAGGATTTTGAGCAAAATATTGTTCAATTGAACATCAACTGCAGCTTTGAAAACCAGAGTTTGAATTTTTTAGCCACCAATTACATTGTTGTGACAATTTTGATATGGAAAATAAAATAATTTCCGTGTAAAATCCGTAAGAAAATATAATTTTCGTGCTGACTCACAAGGCTTGAACAGTATTACCAGGCCGGTGGAAGGAAGCCTCACAGCTGCATATTAAAACGTAAGGAGAGACAATTACCTTATCTAAATAAACGTAAAAACAGATACAAGAAGAGAGAGAGAAAAATGTAAGAATGAAATTTGCTCTGACACAGTAGAGCCGATAATATCCAAATCTCTGAAAGAAGGAAAGTGCTAGAGAGAGAATGTTTTCGTTTTTTTTTTTGTGACTGAAACCTGAAATGTGTTCGCTTTGTTATCAGATGATAAGCTATTTAATACCAGTTTGATATAAAGTTAAAAGAGAACAACAAGCCATAATAAGGGATAGAATAAACTCCCTGTAGCACTGTCACAATTTCAAAGATATGAAAGCAAATCCTTCAACACAGTACCACAAATTCAGACTCAAAAACCCATGAAATTTAATGACTAGCAAACCGTTTGGAGTCCGGAAATTCATCTGATTATACAAAATTCCTTATATATACACCTTAAAATTAGGTTTTATACCATCCAATAACTCCAAAGACGGGTTTACTCCATAGTTTTCCTCAAAATCTACTGACCTGATTTTCATTTCAGTTGCAAATACTTTATTTTCTACACTATCATATAAAATCCCAGGGATATGAGGAATTTCATAATCTAAAATATTGTTTTTTTTTCTCAATATTACCACGAATATTAATACTTCAAAACTTTGCATGATGATACACACAAAACGTTGCAAACTCATGGTTATATTCTACACTCACTGAGAACGTATTCTTAGTTATGAGACACAGCTATGACTGGGATAAAAGCATGCACTATGGATGGCAAACTATACAGTAACTTATCTGTCATAAAACCACAACTCAGAACTAGTTGATTTGTCTAAATCACCTGTATTTTCAGTTTAAACCTCGATTCCTATAACATGGAAGGAAGGAAAGGATTAATATATATGGTATTTTGTCGTAGTAACTGAGCTACTGGGAATATGAAATCACAAGAATGATAAGATACACCATAAAACTATTATATCACTACCACCAAACCGTTAGATTATCATGTCTTCGTTGCATGGCATCGCTTTACAAAACGTTCGTCTTCCTAAAGAACGAGCAGTGTGATGTCGTTTTTTTGCTCTTTAGTATTTCTTTGGAAAAGGACTTCGTTTGCCTGTCTTTTTTTTCGGATAACAAAGGCTAGATAATATAGTATATTAAAGTTTATTCACTTACGTCATCAATTTTTTTTTGGGGGGTAGGGTGGAGGGTATGTATAGACTTTTAGACTTTGAATTGGCTTCGG